CTCAATTCTGGATAGATAGTACGAAAAATATTTATTGAAAAAGATGGTAACGTGCTGCACGTGAGACATATGTCTCCAGCTTAAAGATCACTGTCACACGTAAACATCCAACGTCTTCATATGATTGTAAATTGATGGTCTCGTCAGTTCTATAACTTTGTCATTCATAAATGAATTTTCAAATAGTTATGCATGATTAATGTCCGATTATATATTTAGCCTTTATTGTAAACGCTTTGATAAGGTTTGCAGCTCAAATGAAGGTCTAATTTTACTGACAGGCAAATTTTCAATGAAGTTTGATCTTCATGCATTGTGGGATTTTCGAAAGAATTTTATGTTTATTTATTGTGTGGCATTTTAGACGATGTGTTACTGGCAAAGATTATAATGTCTTTGATGTTAAAATACCATATATTTAGAATATATTCTAGTTTTGATATTTCAAACATTTTATAACCCCAATAGTCAACTTCAAACTTGATTTTTAAAAGTCAATTAATATTGATTAATAAAATATCACCTGAGAAAAGTAGCGCTTTTGCAATCAGTTGTCATTAAAGAATCATAATGTAAACAAAGTAGTTTTTCGAACAATATAATTATATATTTTATTTAGCTTGATCATTTGACATAGAGCAATAGAAGCACAGATGATTCGGGTCAATTGCCAGCGAGTAACACTTTGGAATATAAGATTTGAGAAAAATAAATGCATTTCTTTGATATGGCGAGGCTTATAAAAGCTCAATATTGACTGTGAACAAGTGTGTTATTTCAAAGTTCAGGGTCACTTTAAGGCCTTTCAGTCTGTCATTCATGGGTAAATATTTGATTACTAAGGTTTATTATTTGTGCCTAATTAGGTTGTTTCAAATTAGACGGAAATAAATGTTATAGTTATACGTGGATCTCAAAAAAGTAAATGTGTGAGTCTGTTTTAACATTTTCATTCGTTCATGTATAAGAATAATTGCGCATACTGTTTGTGTGTCTTCGTTTTTGTACTGTGCAGAGGTCATGTTCTTTTACTGGGCCTAGCTTGAAACTCAATCAGAAAATAATACTCAAAATAAATCAAACAATAATAATTATTACCTTTATGGAAGGTCCATAGTTTCTTCTCAAGTGCCTGTTTGTTTCTGAAATAATATATTCATGAAAGACAACTAAAATCTATAAGTTTTTTCATATGTCCTTCAAGATAAAAAAATTGTTTCAATTTGATGTATTTGTAGGTTAAAGTAGCCGACATAATAGAAAATAAAAGAAAACAAACTCTTTGAATAGAAATAAAATATTTGGCACGTGCGCAAGCCTCAAGATTGACAGAAATTAATCAAAATCGTGTGATCTTTTTAAGGGTCACATAGGTTATTTAAGACTTTTACATACGACCTTACTTGAATATTCTAATGTAAAAATATGTTTAAGTTACAAAGTTTCATGCACTTGCCTTTTATGTATTCTATAAAATCTATCTCAAATATAGTAATATTTTCAAAACGCCTTACGTCAAGATATGTGAATGACTTTCTTGCGTTGATATAATGGCAATGAATCAGCGATCTGGTAACATTCCTGCCCGCATGTTTAATTGTGCTTGAAATAGAATCTCAGATAAAAAAATATATAAGTTATATTATACAGTAAACTATTCGTTCTTTCATAGATTTTATCTACATGGTATGGATTTTTAGAAAGTATGAGAAAATACGAAACAAAAATAATTGCAGCTGATGAAAACATGTCACAGAGGGAGAAAGAAGGTATTTGGTAATTGCTTGTGAATCAATAATAAATTTTTAAACATTTCTAAAATTAGCCATTTTATAAATAACTTTGTTTGATACTACAATGTAAAGATGATACTGTATCGCTTAATTTTAAATACTAAACACTCTGTACAGCTTAATCGATCATTCGTCTCATTTTCTGCTACAACAATGATTATCATTTGATCACAAAAATATTCTATATGAATTAGAAACACAATAGCTATCACAATAAACTAAAAGTAATATAGACCCTTTCATTCAAGCGATAAGCGTCGAGGAAGAGTTACTTCCTTTATAGGATGTGATGTAAATGGAGGATTGTACTATAAATCCTTGTAGAATATTAGCTAACTGAAATTAAATCCGCCAATTCTAATCGTTCAATTTCGATAATAACATGTCGAACAATTTGACTTATTTATACAATATATTCTATATAAAGAAAATTAAATTAAAAACACAAAAAAACAAACATTAAGATTATTTTTTGCTACGGGGTAAAACAGCCGAATTTCAAAGTGAATATATCTATTAGATTGTCTCTAATGCCAGGACATAAAAAACAGTACTTAATCAAATTATGATATTTTGAAAAACACTCATACACAGTGAAAATACCTAATATAAATTTAAAGGGACATTTTCAATTTTTCTGTGTTAGAAAATTCCGGTGTTTTTGTTACAAAAATGAAAATAAGTGTGTCAATGATTTTTGGATGATTGTTTTTATTAGAGCAAGAGCAGAATGCAGTCTATCAAAACTTATTGATTCTTTTTCATTATTCCACATAAGAAATATTTAATAGAACCAGCTAATGATATAATTTTTAATAATATCCCTGAAAGAATGAAAACCATGTGGCAATTAATTTTATAACTTTAGATTCGCAACAGACGATGATATGATAATTTTGATATTTAATTTATAAATCTATTCTTATGATTATGAAAATAAAGGACCCTTTCCCAGTAACTTATTTTATAAATAAATAGATTGGTATAAAAATGTGCTGGTTGGCCGTAACATATTAATAAACAGGGTGCATAACTATATTGTATATACATGCGGCACTTGGCTATGATATCATAAATCACCAGGTTGCATATTTATTAGAGTAATAAAAGTACACCAGATTACGACACTTTTGTTAGTTGTCAAAATATTTATGATCCAAATTTGGTTTGGGTCATGCTTTACTGATTTTATACTACAGAATGACTATCAGCTGGCGCAGACAAAAATAGGTGAATTCAGTTAATAACGAATTTCTTTGTACATATTTCACGCCTTGGTTTTTTAATGATTTTAAGAAAAAATATGATGAGCAGAATATGAATCAAATAAGTTGAAAATATCACTTTATCAGCTTTAATATAAAATGTAGCGAGTGATGTTGCATTTTTTGCCGACACAAATAATATACAGTCATGTACATGCAAAAGGATTGTTACTTTTATACTTTTTCATTACTTTTTATAACATTTTTTTAGAAATTCTATATTATTGTTTTACATTGTCTCAGTAGTGCTTAAGTGAAAATAATATTTATTCAACCAGTATCTTGCAATTAATTTTTACGCAGTCGTTTTTCGAAACTACAGAATACTTTGAAACTCAAAATATATATTGGGTACTGTTTATTAGCAGAGACATAGATACGTTATCTACATCTCTGATATATACAAATTAGTACGATTTAATTGCCTGGTAAGGATTCAGATCTTCACAACCTTCTATCAAGGTACTGAATCGTATCGGCAATGGCCTTCGTATCCCCCAATGACGTCATCCAAGGGCGACAACTTGAATATGGTCTTAAATGAAAGGGTTTATATTGTCGCACTTATGATTACTTTAGGTAACGTCCACAAAACAAATGATGTATATTTAGAATTAGAGGTCTGTTTGTAAATCCCTAAACTGTTTGTTTTTAGAAAACAGGAATGTAATCAAATGACTACATATAAGAATATCTCATGGTCAAAAATTCACTATAATTAAGTGAAGAAACTAAGAAAAAATGGACGAATTATTGAAACAACAACAGCGAGCTCAAGAGGACGCGTTTCAAAAACAGAAACAAAATTTAAAAGATCATTACGAAAAGCTAGAAAATGATCTTCGTGAACAGTTAGAAGCAGAAAAAGTAAGGTATGAAGAATTTTTGGAAGAAATGATGGAGAAAGAAGAAGCACAAAAAGCTGCTAAAAGGGAAGTTGCACGCTATAAAAAAGAACAAGCCGACGCCTGTCAAGAGGTAATGCGCTTAAGAAAAAAAGAAGAAGAGAGAAAAAACAGTGGAATGGTGCAAGAATATGGAATGCGTTCTGGAATGACTAAGCTATAAAGAGTTTGCTTTCTTAAACAGACAGAGAAAAGTTTTATTAGTTACAACATGAAGACATTCGCTACATGTTTTTTACAAAGAAGAAATACTTCAAAAAAATGTCACAATAGGGACTACGCTGGGATACCAGGCCGACCACAATTGCTATCTAAAACAACCAACAACTCAGAACAGAAAAATATATACAAATTTATTTACAGAAATGAATATTTATAAATGAAAAATGATTGTATATGATAAACTACTATGATAAGTCACTGCACAAACAGACACTATCAACGTATCTCAGTCTATTTCTCCCGTAAAGTTTCTGTCATGATGTATCAATAAAGTGGTGGCGTTGTTAAACAAAATTCGTCACAATGGCGGGCGTCTTGTATAAAATCTTATCAAGCGTAACTGTGAAATTTAGAAATTGCCCAAACAATACCAAGGCACTCCTTCTCTATTACAGAATACTTCTGTTCTCTTGGTAACAACTTTCTACTGGCATAAGCTACTGGAAATTTCTCCTCACCTTGTTCTTGAAGTAATACAGATCCTTATCCACAATCAGAAGCATCAACTCTGAGAATAAATATCTTGTCTAAATCTGGTAATTTCAAAATGGGCGGACCGGTCAAACTAGCCTTAAGAGTCTGAAAAGCCTTTTCCTGACTTTCACCCCATTCAATACGATTTGGTTGAAACTTTTTTGTCAAATCGGTCAACGGAACAGCAATGGCGGCAAAGTTAGGGATGAACTTCCGGTACCAAGACACAACCCCTAAAAATTGCCGGACTCCTCGCTTAGTCGTGGGTCTCTCGGTCTCCTGAATTGCATTGACCTTACTTAGAACAGGTTCAATGGACTTACTACCTCCTATCATATGACCTAAACATTCCAATCTTCAAAACATATGAAACACTTGGACGGTCTAGCAGTAAGCCTAGACTCTCTTAATTGGGTAAATACCTCATACAATGCATTGATATGCTCTGGCAATGTGACTGTATAGACCAAAATATCATCTATAAAACTATCTGAGTGATCTAGATCTTTCAAAACCTTTCTCATCAGTCTACAGAATGTTGCAGGGGCATTGACTAAACCAAAGGGCATTTTCCGGAATTGAAAAAGTCCCGACGGGGTTTCAAATGCGGTCAAAGGTTTTGCATTGTCAGACAAAGGAACTTGCCAGTATCCTTTACTAAGGTCAATTTTCGAAAAATACCTGTATTTTGATAATTTCGAAAATATCTGTTCCATATTGGGCATCGGTTCCGCATCAAATACCGTGCATTTATTGATCTGTCTAAAATCAATACAGAACCTAATCGTGTTATCCTTTTTCCTGATAAGGACAATTGGACTAGAAAACGGAGCATTAGAAGGTTCGATAACTCCCAACTCTAGCATTTTATCAACTTCTTCCTTTACTATCTGCTGTGAGTGAAAAGGAATAGGATAACCCTTAGTCCTTACCGGTTCTGACGTAGTCAACTTAATGTCATGCTGAACCAATGACGTATTTCCGGGTATATCTGTTAAAACATCAGAAAATTTCTTTAACAAGGTTGCAATCTGAGTCTTACAATCTGTTTGTAAGTCAGGATTGACCTGAACATCTTTATATGTCTCTGAACCTTTCTTCAATGGACATAACAATATGTCACTATCGTCTTGGTAACTTGTTTCTAAACTATCATCTTCCTCTAATCTATCATACCCATTTTCCGCTTCTACAACAGCTGCACTTACCTTTGCCAATGCACCTCGTTCTGGTTCGAAATTTCTTTCAACATACTCCTTCAGCATATTGGCATGGAAAGTTTTAATCTTATTGTTACCTATGTCTATCCGATAATCTAATTTGTTCACGACCTCGGAAACTACAAATGGACATTTCCATTGTAACAACAACTTATTGCGTTTTGTAGGTATAAGAACCAGTACTTTACTTCCCTTCTTAAAAGTTCTATCTCTAGCTTTCCTGTTGTAATACTTTCTATACCTAATACTGCTCTTCTCTAACTCCTGCTGTGCTATCTTACATGTACTTTCTAGTCTTTCTTGCAAATCAACTACATACTGATAAGTTGTCTTAACTTCGTCATTCTCTGTTTTTCCTGACCATAACTCTCTCAAAATGGTAATTGGACCTCTTATACTACGTCCATATAACAATTCAAATGGCGAAAATCCTAAACTCTCTTGTGGAACTTCCCGATACGCAAACAACATAGCATTCAAATACTTATCCCAATCTGTAGGTCTTTCACTACACATCCGTTTCAACATCTGCTTTAAACTACCATTAAATTTCTCCACTAAACCATTACACATCGGATGATACGGTGTAGTTGTTAACTGTCTAAGAGACAGCAACCTACTAACCTCATTCATAATCTGTGAAGTAAATTGTGATCCACAATCTGTAAGCATTTCCTCTGGAACACCTAATCTACTATACATGTCAACTAATGCTTCGGCTACTCTTTCAGTCTCTATACTAGGCAATGCAATTGCTTCAGGATATCTGGTAGCATAGTCTACCATGGTTAAAATATATCGGTTCTTCCTATCAGTCATAGGTTCGATCGGACCAACAATGTCAACGGCAACTCTCTTAAAAGGAGTATCAATCAAAGGCATCTTACCTAAAGTTACCTTACTTATTCTACCTTTAGAAATAGTACGTTGACAAATATCACAAGACTGACAGTATCGTCTAACCTCTACAAGAACACCTGGCCAATAAAACTCCCCTAAGACTCTATCACTTGTCTTCCTAATACCAAGATGTCCTGCCAAAAGCGAGTCATGCGCTACTTTTAAACACAGTCTCCCTAAGATCCTTAGGAACTACTAACTGCCTACTTACGTCACCATTTCCTGCCGTAAACTCTCTAAACAACATCTTATTCCTGACCTGAAACTTCACTTGCCCTTTACCTCTACAGTTTCTAACAGTACCTTCCTCTGCTTTCTTTCTACATCCATCTAATGACCTATCTGCCTGCTGCTTCTCTACAAACTCTACATTAGTGATGTCTAAAATCTGTGAAGGAACTTTAAGTCTTCTATGAGCTTTAACTTTACTCTGCGATCTTGTTTCTACTGCTGAAGCTAACTTACCAAAATTTGGTTCTACAGCACCCTCTATGTTACCGATAATTACATCATTTGTAGGATTATCTACACATAGTGCTTCTACAGTACCTCTGTTATACGGACAATCAAGATCAATTAACGCCATGTCTAATCTGTGCTCACTACCATCAATGTACTTACATCGTCTGGACTTCCCTAACAATTGATTTGCATTTACCAAATTCCTTCATACTATGACACATGTACACCCAGTATCTCTCATTGCAACTATAGCTTTACCATTACATATACCTCTAGTTGTCGGACATGAATTTATAGTAACTGTACCCACGTCTTCAAAATCCCCAAGTTCTATCAAACTACTACCACTATCTGATCTCGGCATCGAAATTTTCGAATCTGCATCTCTATTTCTTCCTCTACCTCTACTCCTACCTCTATAACCTCCTCGCCTTCTATTACCCTGATAACTATTATCATTCTTACTTGGATTCATTGAGTCCGGTTCTATGTCTTCTGCTGCGTTAGCTTTGTTTGTAGCCTTATTTCTACAGAAAAATGCTGTATGCCCTAAACGACCACAATATGTGCATTTATAACCTTCATACTGCTGAGATGCTCTACCTCTATTTACCAGTCTATCGTTACCTCTTTGCATACGATAACTACTACCTTGATTTCTATCTACAGGTCTACTCGGCAGTGCATAAGGCTTAGTTCTTTCTTTAATTCCATGATTCACTACATACTTCGGACCTCCTCTAGTCTTGGCAAACAAATCTGCATCTTCCGCTACTTCACGGGCTGAAAACAACTTCTTACTACTAAGGTTCTGATATAGTTCTCTATTGCAGATATCTAAAAATTGATCCCTTACTATGAAGTCTAACAACTTTTCATAAGTCTTCTCCACCTTACTCAATCTTAACCAACCATCTAAGTATCTAGAAATTCTAGCTAGGAACATAACAAAAGTCTCATTTTCACGGGGCCTTTCAGTCCTAAACTTCTTCTTATACCCATCATCAGTCAACTCAAACTGCCTTAACAAAGCATCTTTCAGCTTATCATAATCCATCCTATCTTCTAATGGAAGCCTATCAAATACCTCCCTAGCAGTACCTTTTAACAGAAACGGTAAGTTTAGTGACCACATTTCATGTTCCCCATTCTGAGCAGACGCATAAGTTTCATAAACATTCAAATACGCATCCATAGAATCAATCTTTTCGTCAAATGGAGTCATCTTAACCTTAACCTTACCTACACTCTTCTTACCTAACATATCTAACTCTATCTTCATCTTATATTCTGTATCTAACTTCCTAGCTTCTGCTTCCTCCTTCTCTCTTTCTAACTGACGAGCTATTTCTAACTTCTCCTTTGCAACCCTAGCCTCATTACTTAACTTCTCTTTTTCCATTTCTATCACTATTTCTAACTTCCTAGTTTCGGCTTCCTCCTTCTCTCTTTCTAACTGACGAGCATAATCTAACTTCTCCCTAGAAATCTTAAACTCATAATCTAACTTCTCTTTCTCATTACTTAACTTCTCTTTTGCTAACCTAGCTTCTAATTCTAACCTATCCTTCTCAGCTTCTAAACGTTCCTTCTCAGCTTCTAACCTACTATGTCTTTCTTCACGCTCCCTTGCTTGCTCCTCTTTAACAAAGTTTCTCAAAGCCTCATCTGTATACCCTAACTCCTGACCTACCTTCATCAACTCATTTACACTAGTCATCTTGAACTTATTATGTATATTTCCTACACTGTAACACTACTACAACAACAACTTAGTATACAAGTAAAATCTTACCGTGAGGTAGAACAATGATATCAAAGTATCATTAAAGGGTAACACTACAACCCTTAAACACAAAACGCTATATTCACTAAGTGCAATCACGGTGCACTATAACACTACACTTCAGTGTAACACCATATAATTAAACGCATTTATCACTCTAGCGCTATAATCACAATGTACCTTCACTGTACACAGTACTAAAATAAACAATGTATCATATATTCTAAACACTATACCTCATCACTAAGTTTCAAACTCATCTAAGTATCTCACTAAGGTTGTATAATAATAATCTTAAGTGTACAGTAGACAGTAGGCAATAATTAAAACTGTTCAAAATACTTTAAACTTCAAAGTCCAAACTACGACCCAAAACTCAATGTCGCGTAGCACTTACCACACAGTGCAAAAATATAAAAGGTATATGGCCAGTTTCAATATACTACAGACACAAAATAAACACAAAGTAAAATTGTAAATGACACAATAAATTTAATGTTCACCTAGATAACAGACACAGTTTCTTTATCTAGAAAAAGTACACAAGGCGGGTAGAACCTTAAATTGCAGAGTGTATGTGTGTATATGTGTACTTCCGATGTTTTACCGAAAGGTCACTTTCAGATTACAAACTGGTGGTCTCATCATAAAGTGACACCTAAAAGGAGGAAAATGGAACGAACTCACCCTAAACGTCCACTGTCGGGTCTGTGTGGCTGTTATAACCTCTCAGCTAGATAGCTGTCATTTGTCACGGTATCAATCTGAAAATGATAAGAAATTATAATCACACTAAATATAAAAAAAAAAAAAAATTAAAAGTGATACACAATTTAACTACCTTTAAGTAAACTAAATTTAACTTTTAATTGTAAATAAAACTGTTTACTTAAAATAAAAACCAAAGTTTCTAGTGTTAGATATATAACCTAGCTGCAGTAAAATGAGTGTGGTTTGTTTCAAATAACAACTATAGTCAACCGGTATCCAATCACGTCGAGGTCTCCAAATGTCACAATAGGGACTACGATGGGATACCAGGCCGACCACAATTGCTATCTAAAACAACCAACAACTCAGAACAGAAAATATATACCAATTTATTTACAGAAATGAATATTTATAAATGAAAAATGATTGTCACTGCACAAACAAACACTATCAACGTATCTCAGTCTATTTCTCCCGTAAAGTTTCTGTCATGATGTATCAATAAAGTGGTGGCGTTGTTAAACAAAATTCGTCACAATGGCGGGCGTCTTGTATAAAATCTTATCAAGCGTAACTGTACTTCCTACAGTGTTGGCACATTTGATAGGATCCTGAACAAGGGCATGCGTCACCCTTTAGCCATGGACATACGTGTGGAGGGCCCGTGTCATCTTCGGGTAAGTCCTCAAATAAGAAGCTACAAAGTATAAAACATGGTAAGTTCCATGATAATCAAACATAAGGGTATAATAAAGTCCCTTGGAAAAGACTCGACCTTTGTCGGTTTCCAATAAAATAACGTGCTTCTTTGAATAAACAAAATGTCCACTATAGTACACCATACATTCCGTGGAACAAAAATTCAATCACATCCGCATAATACTGCGTTGCAAATATATTCAAATATACGCCACATAATAACCACCAATAAATAAACGTCTTCCAAAATCATGCCACTGAAGATCCTCTCTAGAGATACGTTAGTTTTGATACGTTGTATTTACTTATAACAAAAACTGACGATAAATGAAATGAAGTAAGATGATAACGTAAATTAAATTGATTAAATTGAAACAAATCATTACGATACTGCAGCATTTTACATAAAGTTACACAAATACGGTAGAACCATAATAAATTATTTATGAATAGATATATATATCTATAAAATATTCATGGCTCCTATACAATTACAATATAATTAAAACTTCAATTAACATACATCAATTAACATGTCTCGGTATAAATTTGCATAAGCGAAACACTAGAATAAAAAGAGCTTTTAAAATTTAATCTGCAAAAATTTAGAAAACAATAAATTACTGCCAAATAACTAAACCTGAATCAAATAAACTATAATTCTAATAGAAAATAGTATTTACGAAATAGCAAAAATTTATGAAACAAAATCACTAGAAAATAAAATTTACCTTGTACAAGCTGTAATTTTATGACAAATATAATTTGTCTGTCACCGTCATAGTGACCTGTATAACGTCCAGTGCATTGCAATATGTCACTTAAAATTCAGTCAATATATAGCAAACTACTGAGTACTGAGCGGGAAAACGGATCGTGCAAAACATGAAAAATCGATTTGCACGAAATAAAGCTGGGACGGCGGGAAAAATAGTAATGTAAAATAAAGGCCCGTCCTTCAAATACAGACATAATACATATATCTGGTTAATAAAACAAAAATGTAACTTTCTTATTACTGAAAGGATTTTTGTGAAATAAACGGCAAAATGTTTAAATTGAGACATGGAAATTTATGCAAACCATAAAAATACTCTAAATAATAATTTCACCCGAAAACTCTAAATTGAACAAAAGATGATGCAATCTCACAACAATGAATATAGAGTAAAAATGAGGTTCGGCGTGAAAATATAATGCAAGATTTTACAAACGTACTTTCACTTTGTGACATTTACGCCCCCCTTTAAATAAGAAAATTGATAAATTTTCTTTAAATACAACAAAGTGAAAACGACAAATTGCAAAAATGTAAGTAGAAATA